ATAAAGGTAAAAAAAGGTTCATTACTAATTAATTGGAAATTACTATCCATTAATTATTACTAACAGTATTTTTATTCCCATTTAATCAATTAATGAAATTAGATTCTAGTAGCAATAGTAAAGGAAAAGATGTTGAAAGAATAGATGAGGTTGTTGATGAAGTTGATAAATTATCAATGAGTAGGGATGGGAAATTGCACGAAAATTTCAATCTTCATGTGCATGATGCTGAAAATAAATTAAAAGAAATTCATAAAAATGAAAGTTTGAATATTGATAATAATAATAATAGTAGCAATATTAATTGTGATAGTGATAATGGTAGTAATTCACACAAACCACATCCAGATTCATATCATAAAAGCATAATATTAAATGATGAAATTACTAAATCAATAAGCTTAAAAGATTATACAAGTAATGATAGTTCATTGAATAATTCTTTTCTCATAAATGCTGATTTTAATAAAGGTAAAAAAAGGTTCATTACTAATTAATTGGAAATTACTATCCATTAATTATTACTAACAGTATTTTTATTCCCATTTAATCAATTAATGAAATTAGATTCTAGTAGCAATAGTAAAGGAAAAGATGTTGAAAGAATAGATGAGGTTGTTGATGAAGTTGATAAATTATCAATGAGTAGGGATGGGAAATTGCACGAAAATTTCAATCTTCATGCGCATGATGCGCACTGCATCTGCCGATCTTTTTATTTTTTTAAAAAAAAAATTCTATTATTAAAAAAAAAATTTTTATTATTAAAAAAAAAACCAATCAAAAAAACAGATTTTAATCACTAATATTAGTCTCTGATTCAGATGTATATACATCACTATCATCATTTTCACTTTCTCCACTAACATCATCTTCATTTTCATCATCTTCCTGTTCCTCATTATCATTACCATTATCATTAGTGTTTCTGTTGACATTATCTTTTAATTTATTTTGATTTTTTTGATTTTGTAATTTATAATTAAAATAAATAAACACTAATTTAAAAACCATACCAGATGTTAGTCTATTTCTTTTTTTATCATGTATATATGAGAATGCAGACCAATTTCTTTTGGATGCTGCTGAAGATGTAGGGATTGAAAGAATTCGTACAGCAAGATTAGTCAGCTCAGGGGCAATTAAAGAAAAATTCCCTTTCCACCATGTTATCAAATCTGCTTCATCTATAGTTGACCATGCTAAAGAATTGTCAAACAAGCCAGTATGTTGTTTATAATGTAGTAATTGTGACCAAATTTTTTTTTGAGTCATTTGGATAATATTTCATAATAAAGTTTGAAATGTGATTCATTCCATCTACTGGTAAACCATCTTCAATAAATTGAGGATTGAGAAAGTGTGCAACTATCATTATTGGATTATAAAGTTTATCCCAACGTTTTACAAGTATATTTTTAATGGCAGTTTGTGAATTATTATCAATATCATCATTGACTAAAAATACATCAATTTAGAAATCAATTTATTGCTATTACATCATATATAATATAAAAAAAATCAATTATTGTAAATTACCATTATTTAAAAGATTTTGATACCAGCTATAAAAATAAGATAATCTTATTTCATCACTTTCAAAAAATCTAATACCTAAAACCAATTTATTTAATATATCATAAACCAAATTAATATTATTCCGATAAATGCCATTATTAACTATATCTTTAATTTCTTGATTTAATTGAATTTCTAAATCATGTGTCAATTCTGTGATAGTTAATTCCAATGCTAGCCGATTTCTAATCAATGATTCAAGACATATTGCAGAAGAACCCCATCTAGTTTTACAAGGTAATTTTAATGAAGTTGCAAATGTGTTATCTCTCCTTTGGTAATGTTTTAAAATTTCTGATGGTATATTATGAGATTTAAAATATTTTATGATTTTTTTACTATCATTCATAATTTTCTTTATCCAGTCTAATTTTGTTATATCATGAATTATAAGATTTATATTATGAGCTATACAACCCAAAAATATTAAATTAGGATATTTTTTTTTCTAAAATTCTCCATGCTTTTTTCATAACAGGTGCATTATCTGTTATTATAGCTGAAAGTTTACTAATATCAATTGTTTGTATTACACTCTCCAAATCAGCAGCGATATTTTAGCATTTTGTTTCACTTCACCAGTTGGATGTGCTTGCAAGAAAATTGGTTTGGGAGTTGCCAAAATGAAATTTGTCCAATGTTCCTGCACCAAGTTGGACCTTTAAAAGATTTTGGTTAGTATTTTTAAACAAATAATTTAGTATATAACTAAAATAATAAATTTACCATCCATCAGATATTAAACATAAATATTCTGCATTGTTAATGCTATTTCTTGTTGCCAATTGTGTTTCTTCAAACACTTGATCTAGCAATGTAGTTGACAATTTTTTTCTTCCAGGCAGTTTAAAGGCTGGGCGTGCTTTCTTCCATAAATCTTGCATCGGCTTTAATTCAGTTAATGAAAGGAACAGACCACATTGATAAATTGATCTTGCAAACAATAATTCTAATTCTTCCTGTTCATTTTTTGAAATTTGATCTATAAAATTATTCATAGATTGATGGGTCATTCTTGAGTGTGTTAATGATGATGATGTTGATGATAATGTTGATGACAATGACATTGATGACAATGCTGATGATAAGGTTGATGATGATGATGATAATGGTGGTGAAGATGATGATATTGATATTGATGATGATGATGAATTGTTGTTATTGTTTATATCAAAAAAAGTTTGAAAGACTTCATCTGGTACTAATTCACAATTCTTTAAATGCCCCACACACCTTCCATGTGATTCATACAATTCATAATTGCAATATTTACATCTTGTACATTCCTGTTTATAACCAGTCAAATACCCCAACTTTTCAAAATGCGACCAAATATTCTTAGAAGCCATTATTTATTATATTAAAAAAAAAATTTTTTTAATTTTTTTGCATTACATTTATTACTATGTACAAAAAAAATTACATGCGCATGATTTCAAAAATTACGTGCGCATGATGCAGTGCGCATGATGCGCATGGTGTGTGCATTGGAACATCTCTAGCTTTGACCATACCAATATTAGTTGCTTCAAAAAGAAGATGTTGATATTTCTGTATACTTGGTAATTTCCTAAAATAAATTCCCAAAATTGCTTTAATATCTAAGTATTGAAATCCTTTTCCACCTTCATAACATTGGGCTTTATTCAATCCTGCTGGACTAGACTTTTTTATTATCTCAACCACATGATCCAGACAATCTACTCTTGTTCTTCTATAGAGTTTTTTAATCATGCCAAATTACCATCACATTTGAATTTGGTATGTCCAGGAATCATGAAATTTAATTCAATACTTTCATAATATCCACAAATTACTAAATATAAATAAAATCAAATGGTGGTGTTATTTTTATTCTGTCCACCAGCATTATCACAAGTAATCTTTAAATGCTTTTCACCTTTGTTCAATTTTTTAACTCCATCAAAAATCATGCTAAGGGTTCCATTAGGACCTTTTCCTATAATTTCATCTTCATTAAGAACATAATTAATTTGTTCTCTTACTGCCTCATCTTGAATACCAAATAAATGAACTTTACATGGTCTAAGGTAATAAATTTTACTTACTTGTTGATCTAAATGTGGTACATGAACATTTTGGGCTCAATCATAACTGTAATGTGCAGTAGCATCAATACTGCAATACTGTACTTTACCCTTTGTATAATTTTGATTAACTAGTTTTCTTTGTTCTTCTGCTAATTTGGTATTTTTATTATAATAACTTCTTTCTGATTTGGCCCTATACAGATGTTCTTTAAATCTTTTGAGCAAATCTTTAGCTTCTTCTTCTTGGTGAGCATTATAATGTAAACCATCTCTAAAATGTTGACAAGTATTACACAAATCAGTTCTTGGTTGATCAATCAGGTCAGATTAGCCTTATGTACATGAGGAACATGTGTGAATGACTGTAATGTGTTTGAGGCAGCGTGTGTGCTTCAACGCCTGCCAATTTCCTGTAATCAAACATTGCATACTCAATGTCTCTTTTTCAACAGTGTGCTGCCTTGATATCTTCTTGTGATTATATATTTATAATGATATTATTAATATTATTGATTATGAAAAACAAAATATTATCAATGAAAATCTCGTAATTACCCAACAAGATCTGCTCCATGTTTTGATTTCCAATTAAAATATTTATTATAACCAATAAAGACAACAAATATATATATCAATACAAGTAAAAAATAGTACCTCTGGTTAGTTATTAACACGTCTTCTTTAGGAGACCCAAACCAAGCCAAACCAAACAACAACATTCACCTTGGACTCTGTCAAAAAATAAATTGTTTTTCCAAAAAAAAAAAAATCAATTCGCGTCTGTCCTACCAAAAAAAAAAAAAACCAATAGGATAAATAATTAGCGTGTACATGTCGATCAAATAACAAACTTCTTTAAAATTATGCCACCACAAAAACGTAAAGAAATTAAAAAGAAGAGCAAACACCAAGAAGCAGAAGAAATTTATAGGTAAGTGTTTTAAGGATGGTGGTGGTGGTTATCGCCCACCACCTGTTGTCGTTACTCTAGTTTGTATATTAAAACTTGTATTTACTTAGAAAAACAAACGGAAAAGAAAATATACCAAAAAAAAATAATATACCAGACGATTTTTTAAATTTTGAAGAATCTCCCTGGGAGTTTGACTTGATTGTGAAAAATATAGATATAGAAGAAAAATTTATTGGATTGTGTGAAACATTATACAAACCAAAAAATAAATCGACATCATTTAATTATGGAATCATTTATCTTACTGTAAAGTCTGGAAAGATAGCACCCCCTACTTTAAAACAATTGAGCACCAATATAAAAAAAATGTTACACATATGTAAAAAGGGGATGCTATCTTTCCAGACTTTACAGTAATGATCAAAACATCCAAATTGAATTAGGAACTTCCATAAAAAAATATTTTGAAGAATTTTTAGATAGGTATAAACCAAAAAATACCAATACAGAAATAGCCACTCAGCTATTAAAGGAATTAAATATAGTAAGTAATCACAATAGAAAGTGAAATTAAATAATAATTAAATGAAATTTCTTATACCCTTTATTATTTATTTATAATCACAGACAGGCATGGAAAAGTTGGCAGATTCATTGAATAGTATTAAAATAAATTATAAAAATTTGGATGAAGATGTTTTGTACCTAAAAAGGTTATTCGAAAAGTTGTGAGTATTCATATTTACACTGTTATCATGAAAATTTGATTATTATTAATATTTAAAATTATTTATTTTACATACAGCTTCATATTATTTAAAACAAAAAAAATCTTGAATCTTGATGATAGAAACCTACCTGAGGGCTGGTACAACAGCAACATAGTTACGCCCATATTTGACGATTGCATGGCAAAGCTGACGGAATTTGTTCTGAAGCGGTAATTATTTACAGTCAAAGCTCATTATAGTGGACCCTTGGTTCCATATGTAATTTTTCTCCTTTTTTCCACTATAATGAAATTTTATTATGTTTTCCACTATATCAAGCGAAATTAATTAGCATTGGAAACAAAAAAGATCCACTATAACAAGATTTTATTATGTGTCCACTATAACGAGCTTTGACTGTACAAGACTTTTTTTATGCTTTGATTTTATATTTTAACCAACTTTTATGGCCATTATTCTTGAATAGTGGGGAAATTATGAGCAAAATACAAAAGGCAACCATAAAAAACCCCAAAAAATGCAAGAAATACGACGGCATTATGTCATTGACTAATTCGATTGAATTTATATATATTGAGACAGCTACTACCACCGATGCAAGCAAACAGATAAAAGATTTATCTAAATTATACAAGGCAATTTCAATTATGTTTAGGCAACTGGTAAAGTCTCTCCCTCCTCCAATGCGGACCAAAGTTAAAGATATACCACTTTTAGCTATTCAGTTTTGTGGTGAGTAAATTGTCTTCGAATTATTATTATCAACACTTTTTAATAGTAATGGCCTTGATTTATTATTTGTCATCATGTTGTAATAGGACCAATGGTCGAAGCATTTTTAGCAACCTGGATTGAAGGGGTGAGACCGGTAATTTTTTCAATTGCAAAATTTGAAATTCCAGAACAAGTGGAAGCTTTGCCAAGACTCGTAATTGCTAGGGTTTGTATTCATGGATACCATGAGTACCATTAAGGGGGTTACACACTAATAAATCAGCAAAAAATCCCTTAAAAACACTTGATTTTAATAGTGTGTAACCCTGTGTGACATCCTTACGGTATCTGTGAATACAAACCCTAGTAATCGCAGCGTCCTATATGTTAAATTTAAGGGTAAGTTAAATTATCTTCTTTATATTCGTAATCAATTGATTTATATTCTATAAATGACTGATTTAAAATTGTCTTTTTTATTCTTTGATGGATCATTTGATTGAATTATGTGAAAAGTATAAAATATTATTGGAAAAAGTAACTGAATATTACCTCTCTGCACGTAACCAACCTTTAAAATTAAAACCAAGATTAAATACAATGAATAATTAATCTTACATATTAGTGCAAAAATTGAATTTTATTTTCATCAAATTTTATATATATCTTTAAAGAGAAATACAATTAATAACAATTTCTATGTTAAATCAAATAATTGATTATATAATTCATTTTATATTTGATTTTATTTTATTTTTCTATTTAGCAAAATGTATGATTTTTATATTTTTTTTTTTTTTAAAAAGAAATATGTATGATTTTTATACTTTTTTTTTAAAAAAAAAATATGTATAAATGCTATTTATATAATCAAAATTTATTTTCGTTTAATTTGCTTCTTAAATTAGTTTAATCAAATTTAATTTGTTTCGATGATAATTTAAAATGTAATATATGGACTTTGATATTTACCTATTATTATTATTTGAATTTAATCAGTAGAATATACACTATTACTATCGTCAAAATAAATAAATCGAATAATTTAATTTTTAATAATTTATATGGTTGATCCATATGATTTCAGATATCTATCTACAGAGGGTGATCACGGGTTTCCGAACGATAAGTATTTTTTATTTTTTTTACTTTGTTTACATCATTTACGCGTAA